GAGAGAGAACGAGAAAGCGAGAACGAGAACGAGAGAGAGAGAACGGATGGAGAGAACGGAGAGAGAGAAGGGGAGAGAGAGAGCGAAAGCGAGAGCGAGAGAGGGAGAGAGAACGAGAGAGACCGAGGCAAAGAGAGTGCGAGACAAAGAGAGAGCGAGACAAATAGAGTTTTTGAAAGGTCGGCAGCTAGACGCTCAGCATGCGCAATAAAAATAGAAGGAACAAGTGCAAGCTAACAAAGAAAAGATAATCATGGAAGAAAACAAATCCGTAACAAGAGAAACGAATGGTAAAAAAGAACGAGGTGCGAGAGAAGTTTATGGCTAACGAATAAGACTAACGTTAAGATTAAGACGGAAAGAGGAGCGGGTAGGAGAAACAGATGAAATGCGGCCTATAACCTAAGCTTAAAACAACTTGCAGCCAACACTATATTAAACTAATACGACATGAGATTAAGAAATGGTAGGGTAGGCTAGACTTATGTTAGCTTGTAATGATCTAACTTGGTCCTGATTGATAGGCTAGGCTTGTTCTTACCTTGCACTAGTAGGTGGAGTGTGTCTGGTGGAGTTCTCAACTAGCAAGAAGAAGGAGCGGGAGAAAAAAAAGAACGAGCAAACCCTAAAGCAGTCCCTGATTTGTCGAACAAAAAAAACTTTAATTAAAAAATGGTTACATTGAACTTGCAATCTGAAGGTCTTCAGTTCAAATCCTGCTGATGTCTTCTTCTAGTTTTTTGGTAGGTTGTATCAAATACCACTTAGTGTCATACTACAGCTTGTACAGAATTAGAAGTTGTACAATATCATTTAGTTACGTATTGCAAAACGCTTCGCAACCCTAAGACGATTTCGTCGCCTCTTGTTTTTTTTTTTTTTTTTTTTTTTTTTTTTCGGGCCCACCGTAACTCGTGACCGACTGCGGTTACCACGCTACCCCACGGCCTGCTCTGTGTCGCGCTGCCAGCGTACGCCCTGCCTTGCCCTGTGTTGCGCCGCCCCGCGCACACCCTGCCGTGCCCGCGTCGCGCTGCCCCGCGCACGCCCTGCCCTGCCCTGCGTTGCGCCGCCACGCGCACGCCGTGCCCTGCCCGCGTCGCGCTGCCCCGCGGTCAGCGCACGCCCTGCCCTAACCATCGCGTCGCCATAGGACCCGCGCACGCCGTGCCCTAACCGTCGCGTCGCCCTAGGACCCGCGCGACGCCCTGCCCTGCCCGTCACGTCGCCCTAGGACCCGCGCAACGCCCAGCCCTGCTCATCGCGTCGCCCTAGGACCTGCGCGACGCCCTGCCCTGCTCATCGCATCGCCCTAGGGCCCGCGCGCCGCCCCTGCCTGCCCGTCGCGTCGCCCTAGGACCCGCGCGACGCCCTGCTCTGCTCGCCGCGTCGCCCTAGGACCCGCGCGACGCCCTGCCCTGCTCGTCGCGTCGCCCTAGGGCCAGCGCGCCGCCCCTACCTGCTCGTCGCGTCGCCCTAGGGCCCGCGCACCACCCCTGCCTGCCCGTGCGCCATCTCTGCAGCCCGCGCGCTGCCCTGCTGGCCGCGCGCCGACCCTGACTGACCGTGCGCCGCCCCGCCCTACCCTTTGCGCTTCCCTAGTGCCTACTCGCCGCCCTGCCTTTACTGAGTGCTCCCCTACTAGTCCCACGCCTCCTTGCGTTGCCTGCTATGAATTATCTTTGTGGTAGCGGTGGGAGTGGTGGCGGCGGTGGTGGCAGCAGTGGGAGTGGTGGCGGTGGTGGTGGCAGCAGGGGGAGTGGTGGCAGCGGCCGCAGTGCAAGTCGCGGTGGAGCTGTTCAGTGGGGAGTTTCTGGCGGTGGCCAGATGCAGCTGCAGCAGCGTCCGCACGAGACCCTTACTCCCCAGTAGCTCCGTGAGTGGTACGCTAGTAGGTTTGGCGGCGGCGGTCGTCGTGGTAGTCGCGGTGGAGCTGTTCAGTGCGGAGTTTCTGGCGGTGGCCAGATGCAGCTGCAGCGGCGTCCGCGCGAGACCCTTACGTCTCAGCAGCTTCGTGAGTGGTACGACCAGCGTGGAGCGCCTCTGAGTAGTGGTCGCTGCACATACGTCATTCGCACAGGTGCTCAGGCTGGTGAGACTTGCGGGACGCGTGGCCATACACAGTCCCGCTGCTTCTCCTATCTGAGCGACAACTGGCGCGCAGTGTTTGGCGACGAGGCTGAGCTCCCCCGCTGGTTAGAGCTGTGTTAGCACAAAGTGGATGTATTTTCTCTAGACTATAACGCTATCCTCACTGCCATGTACACTTTGACTGTTGGTTCTGAGGGTGACTGTTACCTGTGTGTGCCGCATGACCCCGGTATAGAGACTGCTACTCTTGGTGGTAGTGAGGCTGCTGCTTTAGGTGCTAGTGAGTCTGCTCTCTCAGGTACTGCGCCTGCTGAGGCCTTGCACACTTTCACACTTGACTCAGGTGCTTCCCGCTGTTTCTTTCGTGACAGTACTGCACTCACACCACTCCCCGCACCCAATTCAGTCTCTCTGGCTGACCCCTCAGGGGGCCCAGTCCTTGCACGGTCCACCACTATGCTCTCGTGCCCGGCGGTTCCGTCTGGCTCACTGTCAGGTTTTCACCTCCCCTCGTTCTCTACGAACCTGGTGAGCAACGCCGTCCTCCAGGATCATTGGGTTGACACCTTTACCCCTGGAGGACAGCGTGTGGCAATCTGTACGTGCTCCAGGACTGGCCGTCACCTGGCCACATACACCTGTCAGCCAGGGTCGAGTCTTTACACACTGACTACTGTGTCTCCTCAGGTAGTTGCTGTTGGTCAGGTGTCTGCGTCAGGTCTGGTAGCCTCCCCTTGTGAGTGTCGCTCCCTGTCGCACCAGACTCTTCTCTGGCACCACCGCCAGAGTCAACCCTCCTTGCCACGTCTCCATGGCATGCGCGGTCGCCACCTTGTGTCTGGTCTTCCCAGGTCTCTCCCTCCCCTCCCTGCCTCGCCTGCCCCGCCCTGCCTTCCTTGCGTCGAGGGGCGGCAGCGCGCCGCTCCTCACTCCTCGTTTCCCCCAACAGAGGCTCCACTGCAGACGCTCCATCTGGACGTGTGGGGCCCAGCCCGCGTTCGTGGACAGGGCGGTGAGCGGTACTTTCTGCTGGTTGTCGACGACTACTCGCGTTACACCACGGTCTTCCCCTTGCGCACCAAGGGTGAGGTCCCTGCTGTCCTGATCCCTTAGATCCGAACAGTTCGTCTCCAACTCCGCCACGGTTCCACACGGACCTTCCTGTCCTGCGTCAGCACTCTGACAGAGGTGGTGAGTTCACCTCCGACCTCTTACGGGCGTTCTGTCAGAGGGAGAGCATCGAGCAATCCTTTACGCTTCCGGCCTCACCGCAGCAGAATGGGGTTGCTGAGCGCCGTATTGGCTTAGTCATGGAGGTTGCTCGTACCTCCTTGATCCATGCAGCGGCTCCCCATTTTCTGTGGCCGTTTGCGGTCCGGTACGCCGCGCATCAGCTCAACCTCTGGCCCCGTGTCTCCTTGCCGGAGACCTCGCCCACACTGCGTTGGACGGGGGAGGTTGGCGATGCGTCGCGTTTCTGGGTCTGGGGTGCTCGTGCCCTTGTCCGCGATACGTCTGCGGACAAGCTCTCCTCCCGCACCCTTCCCTGTGTCTTCCTTGGCTTTGTCCCTAACGCGCCTGGCTGGCAGTTTTACCACCCCGCCTCGCGTCGTGTCTTCCCCTCTCAGGACGTCACCTTTGACGAGTCGGTTCCTTTCTACCGTCTCTTCCCCTACCGCACTGCCCCTCTCCCTCCCCCGCCGCTTTTCCTCGCTCCAGGTCCCCCTCTGGTAGACCCCCTCCCCCCTCAGGGTCCTGCTCCTTCAGGTGTCTCTCAGGTAGACCTAACTCCCGTAGCTGAGCCTGTCGAGGTCACTGGTTACTCAGGTGCTGCTGAGGGTGGTACTACTCGGGGTGCTGAGCCTGGGGGTGCTGAGCCTGGGGGTGCTGCGCCTGGGGGTGCTGCGCCTGGGGGTACTGAGCCTGTGAGTGCGGAGCATGGGGGTGCTGAGCCTGTGCGTGTGGAACCTGGGGGTGCTGAGCCTGCGTGTGCGGAGTCTGGGGGTGCTGAGCCTGAGCATGCGGAGATTGGGGGTGCTGTGGTTCGAGGTACTGCGTCTCCTCTCAGGGAGTCTCTCTCGCCGCAGCAGCTACGCGAGTGGTACGCTCAGCGCTGTCGCCTTCGCCGTGGCGCTACTAGAGCTAGAGACGCTGCGACTGGAGGCGCTGGTCCTGGAGGTACTGGAGGAGCAGGAGCCGCTGGTCCTGGAGGTGCTCGTACTGGAGGTACTGGAGCTGCCGGAGCTGGTGGTACTGCTAGTCCTGGAGGTGCTCGTACTGGAGGTACTGGAGCTGCCAGGGCTGGTAGTCCTGGAGGTACTGGAGCTGGTGGTGCTAGAGCTGGTGGTGCTGGAGTTGGAGGTTCTGGAGCTACTGGAGACCCTGGTGCTGGAGGTGCTGTGGTTCGAGGTACTGCGTCTCCTCTCAGATATTCTCTCTTGCCACAGCAGCTACGCGAGTAGTACACTCAGCACTATTGCCTTCGACGTGGCGCTACTAGAGCTGGAGTCGCTGCGACTGGAGGCGCTGGTGCTGGAGGTACTGGAGGAGCTCAAGCCGCTGGTCCTGGAGGTGCTCGTCCTGGAGGTACTGGAGCTGCCGGAGCCGGTGGTACTGCTGGTGCTGGTGGTGCTGGCACTGCTGGTCCCGGAGGTGCTCGTACAGGGGGTTCTGGCGCTGCCGGGGCTGGTGGTGCTGAGGACCCTGGAGCTGGAGGTACTGGAGCTGCTGACCATGGAGCTTGTGGTACTGCGGACCCTACAGCAGGAGGTGCTGCTGGAGCTGCTGGCGCTTGAGCTGGGGGTGCTGCTAGTGCGGGAGGTACTGCGGCTGCTGGAGCTGGTGGTGTTGGAGGTGCTGGTCCGAGTGCTGCTGGTCCTGGAGGTGCTCGCACTTCAGGTGCTGGAGCTGTCAGAGCTGGTAGTGCTGCGGACCCTGGAGCTGGTGGTGCTGCGCAGCCGCGCCTGTTCTTCGCTCCGCCGTCGCCGTCGTCCCTGCCACCGCCTGACTCCGCACTTCGCCAGGTTCCTAGTGTTCCGTCTTTTATTCGCCTCCCGTTATAGCCAGGCTCCCCTCTGCCTGCTCCTTCTCCTTACACTGAGTAGACAGACTCGCTTACTGAGCGTCGTGAGCCTGCGTCTCGTCCTGCCTCGCCTGTTCGCGCTGCTCGCACTGGTCGTCGTGTTCCGCGTCCGCGCCCTCCCCCTGTGCCAGGCACTCCCTCTGGGCGCGTGGCGGTTTTCTGCCCACCGCTCGCTCGGGGCGCGTGGCAGTTTCCTGCCCGCCGCGCTCCCGTCGCGGCGCCCTGGGGGCCCGCGCGTCGCCCCCTCCCGTCGTCTGTCGTGGCGCCCTGGGTTCCCACGTTCTGTCCTCGCCCGTCGCCCGTCGTGGCGCCCCAGGGGCCCGACCGCTGCCCCCCCTCCCGTCGCCCGTTTTGGCGCCCCGGGGGCCTGCGCGCCGCCCCCCCTTTTCGTCGCCCGACGCGGCGCCACGGAGGGCCCGCGCGCCGCCCTTCCCGTCGCCCGTCGCGGCGCCCTGGGGGCCCGCGCGCCCCCCCCTCCCGTCGCCCATCGCAGCGCCCTGGGGGCCCGCGCGCCGCCCTGTTTGTCGCCCGTCGCAGTGCTCCAGGGACCCACGCGCCGCCCTGCTTCCGCTCGCACGCTGCCCCAGCTGCTACCCGCGTACCTGCCCCGCCCCGCCTGCGTTTGGATCTTGGGGTGGCGGGTATGGGGGTGGCGGGTGTGTGAGCAGTCCCTTGATCCTCCTCCTCCTCTGTCTCCCACTGCTGCAGCTGCCGCTGAGGGGGGTGGGTGTGTGGGAGCCGAGGGAGTGGCGCTAGGGGGGTGTCGTGGGAGTGGAGCTAGGGGTGCAGCAAGGGGTGTGTGAAAGGGGTGTGGGATAGTTGGAGGAGGTTGAGCTGAGGTAGCCATCGTGACGTCAGCAGTGCCAGTAGTTTGGAGCCGTCGTGCTCTCGGTAGCCCAGCGAGCCTGCTTCGCCAGTCGCCTGTGGGTCCGTTGCTCCTGCCGCTCGTCGTAGCCGCGGAGCCAGATACTCCCGTAGTCCGGTGCCCTCGTGCGCTCGGTAGCCACTGTGCGCGCCGCTCCTGTTGCCCGTGTGACTACGGCTTCACCCATTGCCTCCTATCTCCACTCCTCCCACTGTTCCTTCTCCTCCTCCTCACTTGCCCTCTGTGTAACTGCCTCTAGCTATGCTAGTGCTTGTGAACTTTTTATGCTTCTGCTGGCTGTACTGATTATACCCCACTTTGCCTATGGGGGTGTGTCAGAATGTGATATTTGTCTAGTCTGCAGTGGGGTACTCTATAGGGAGTACAGCCCGATTAGGGTTGGCTATTTGTATCCCAATGCCTGCTAGTGAAAGCCCTCTTTTCTGTCCTAACTTTCTAGCTACTGTTTCAACAATTTTATCAAGGCAATTACCCTGATTTCATGGTGAGTTCAGTCTTGTCACCTTATGGTCCCTGCAATTTCAGAATTTACGACTTGTGAGTGAACACTGATCCATTCAGAATAATGCTTTAGCGGACCCTGAAATTTTGTATCCACACTCAAAGTCGTGTTCTTTTGGACTCTGTCAATACAGAGTAAGAATCCTGTGGACCCCGAATGAGACATAATCGTAACGAAGTTTCCTTGAAACTTCCTATGAGTACCTCGTGGCCCTGTTTCACAGGCAAGCGAGCACGGCGTGGAAACGGAAACACGGGAACCCACATGCAGCTTTCTGCTTAGACTCGTCACGCCCTCCCACCCGCGAAAGCTAAACCAGTTGTACAGGAAATTTCTACCCGCTCAGACGCTGGTGTCGGCCCTCCTTCTCGTAACGGAGGGGGGTGTAGTTACTCTAGAATTTTGCATAGTTAAAGTCTAATCGTCTGAATAGGGGCTTTTGTCCAGACAAAAAACATCTGTGATGAGGTTGAGTTTGAAGGAAGCTTGAGTTCTAACGATTTTTCAAAACTACGAGCTTGAGCTTGGTGAGTTCTTGATATACGTATTCGTGCTTGAGCTTTCTTGAAATTCCCTACGACCCATCGCCACCCAAAAACAGGAGGGGGTTGGCTTACTGATTTTCTTACAATTTGGAGAGCAGAGCACTGGTTGCACCTAGACAATTGTATCATACTGGTATGGATGCCATTTTGCTTCCCATAAGTAGAAGGTATCCCTTGGCAACCAAATTGAAACAAAAATTGCTAGGGAGAGAAGTTGGGTACTCACCTTCTGTATAGACGTTTCCGTTTCCACCCTGCACGTTGTTCTGCAGTCACATGTTTCCGTTAGGTTCGGATGGAAACCAGCAGGTATGACACTCATTTTCGGGCTGACCATGCGATCGAACCTAAATTGACTGTAGACGGAAGGAACCAAGAGGATTCTAACAACGGGAACGCATGCATGTGGAACAGGGCCCGCATGTGCAAAGCCCGCTTTATTAGGAAGAAGTTTCTTCGAAATTTTGTTTTGATACACCCACCATCGAATCGTACAGTGGCAGCTCGGGCGAGCACCGAACAAGTATCGCACTGGGCAGTACACTATATTCTCGCCACAAACACAATTTTTAAGAGTTGATGGTGTGTCATTACTGTACCAAAATAAAATAACATAAGGTTGTATTACAAGATTTCACACAACAAAAGTGCGAATTTTCCAGGTATTGGCGATCAATAAAATTTGGCGACATATGAAGTGTCGCATTTCAGGTTGACCAAATTTGCGCATTTTTTTTTCGCGCCAAGACTGATGAATAAATACATTGGATGATTGCGAGGGGTGTAAATAATTGCGCACAAAGTGTATCCAACGCCTTGACATGTTTAGTTTCGATAGTGCACAGTGCGTTACTGCTCTGATCTTGACTTCTCGATTCTGAACACACATACTGTATAAATTCCGAACACTGGGCAATCAGGGTGATGTTTTTCTGGAAAATATGCACCCATAATATAGGGGGGAATTTTTTTCCCGGATTCAGGGAGGCCTAAAACGAAACGTCAGCCCTGCTTGTACCCCACAACGTTACGTTGCGGAGCTATGATGAGAACGACAGACTTGATAAGAATGCAAGTGCAAATATAAATAATTTCAAGGCTTATGGAAATACACTTTCACGGTTAGTGAATCTGCAAATATCGCACCTCTAAGTTCTTCTCTTCACTTTCGTTGGCGCCATTCTCGGTGGGCTGGATTGGGATGCCAGACCGAACCCCAGTTCATTGGGCAGCAGTTTGCTAGAAACAAATTTGCAAGGCGCGTTTCCTGACAGCGCGAGGCCTTCAGTCACCTTGCGACGAAGGCTCCGTCTCAGTCTCGTTTTCCATCCGCCGCTATGCGGCGACTATTGCACTCTATTGACGATGGCGGAACGAAACCAACTTTAAGCAGCTTTTCTCTAATTTCACGACGGCAAGTCCGTCAACTTCTACCATCATCCCAGTCAACACATCAGCAGACCCCTTTTGGTGGACGAACCACTTCCTCATGATCGGGCAGCGGGAAAGCTTAGCGAAAATGCGACTCAAACTTGTTTTTCGCTGCCCAGAATTCTCCTCATCCAAAGCGAAAGATTCGTTGCTATTGTCCTACGACAGCAGTCAACATCGAAGTTCCGCTCCCAAGCCTCCGAAGGTTCGGCTCAAACCAAACCAAAGCGGTTCATTGTGTTTCGGAGTGTTTGCTCTTCTCGGTTCGGGTAGCGGGCTCGCCTCCTCCGGCCTTGAGAATTGCTCTTCGCCAGTCGAGCTCCATCCACTCTTGTTTCCGCCTTGGGACCTCCTTCCCAAACACTACAAAGCCCACCTGTCCTCGTCATTCCCGCACCACAGTGTTTGCAATCCCAATTGACCGTCGACTCTCAGACTCAGCTTCTAGCTATCGAGGCTTCAATCAGCTTCAGGTTTTACCTTCGCCTCTTGTTTCGTCAGTGCGATTAGCCTACCGCTATGGCATCTCGGATTCCTCTGTCGCTTGCTAAATCTGCACGCCGCGCTAACATCTTAAAGACGTGGCGCAACGCGATTGCAGTTCGAGTGGGACGCTTTAACGAGGTAGAGCAGTGCGCTGTGCGCTCCCCCCGTGCGTCGCTCGGCTTCTCCCCTCTGCGACCCAAGCCCGTGGCTAAGCCGCCCAGCAAGAAGCCCAGGCCCAGGGATGTGATGGGTACCGCTGCTGCTGTGAAGCCCAGAGCGGTGCACAGCGGTCAAGCGACCGTCGCAGCTGCAGCAACCAAAGCCATGCCAGCTAAGGCGACGCCAGCCAGGGCAACACCAAGAAAGGTGACACGTGCAAGCCTTGCTGCCGCGGAAGGTGTGAAGGCTGCAGGTGCAAGCAGCCCAGCAGCAGCCGCAGCAGCTCCCCACAGCCCGAAGGCGGGTCTCACTGGCGGGTCTGGAATCCCCAGACTTGCAAGCAGTGCGGCAACAAGGAGGGTCACGGCAAGAGTGACGGCAAGTGGCATTCCCAAGCCATGGAAGGTTGTAGCCAAGTGAAGACGAAAAAAGGTTAAGAAAAAAAAAAACAAACAAACAAAAAAGGGGGAAAATAAAAGGTACTTCCAATCGAGGGAAGGTAGCAGCAAAAAAAAAAAAAAAAAAAAAAACAGCAGCAGAATCGATCTAGGGCGTGTTCAATGTGGATGCGAAGGGAAGACAGTGGTGGATGAGATGGCATGGCTGGCGGGGGCTAGAGGGAGGTGCATGGAGGGACTTACCCCTTTTTCCACCCTGCTTGCAGGGTGTTGTGGGAGAGATTAGAGGAGAGGTGGAGGAATGTGGTGAGCTGGAATGGGGAGGCATGGCATGAGGGGGAAGAGCATGCCCTTGGATCGGATCCGCTGCTGCACTGCTGATGCACCGTGCACCTGCTTAGCTCTTGATTACTTTAATTATGTGCCAGATAGTTCTAGATTGTGTTCTAGGTTAGAAATGTGTAATCAATGATGCTATATTTATATGTATGCTGTTGATGTGCATTCTGTGCTTGTGTGTTGCGACTGAGTGGTGGATGGAAGGGAGGGAATGGTTGGTGAGTGTATTCATGTGGATGTCTGAATTGATGGTGTTGGCTCTGATTTTGTGATTCAAGCGGGCTGTTTGACCTTTTCTTTGTGATCGTTCCAGCTCATAGTGCATTCACTTTCTCGTTCCAATTTCATCAGCTCATCATCCGTGCAATCTCTCGTGCCATTCACATCATCTCATGATGCTTTCAGTCGTTCATTCTAGTCTCATTTTAGCATGAGCTCATGGCATTCTGCAGCCCCCTCCCCCTTATTTCCCCACGACTCTTATCTCTCGTACCATATCACCACCCTATTCCTCTCGTCTCCTCTTCTGTATCTCTTGGGAACTCAGGAGTATCCAATTACTTCCACATCAGCTCAAGTTGTTTCCACTGTGTATGTGTGTGTGTGTTTTTTTTTTTTTTTTTTTGCAGTTTTGGAGCAGCAGGTGGTCCTGCATCGCATACCCGTTTCTATCATTTCTCGATGCTTTCACCATTTCACAAATATTCATAGACTCCTGTCAGGATGCTGTGAGTTTGTCAGTGTCCATAGTTCCAGTCTAGTGCCCTTTTTTTTTTTTTTCTAAGTTTTTCCTCTCTGTGCGAACGGTACCTTTACTTACCGTTCAGGTCTTACCAGACCCGTACAACAAAAATGGGTTTCATCCACAGCGAACTACACCGTTTCCTGCTGCGTTCTTCTTCGCGCACTGACTTCTTCAACTCCCGTGCTCTTTTCTTCGCTCGACTTCGAGCAAGAGGCTACCCGGAGAAATTTCTGCTACCAATTTTCAAGTCGGTGTCCTTTGCCTCTCGGAAGGAACTCCTCGACCACGCCTCGGTTTTTCGCGATTCTCCTAAACGTGGACCCCTTGTGCTGAAATCGCTTCTCAACCCTTTGGTTGACCGTTCGCACATGGGGAAACTTTTGAGTCGACTCAAAAGTCACCTCCTTACAATGGCACACGACACTTTCTCTGCAAGGAGAGTTATAATCGCTTGGAGGCTGCCTAAGAGGGTTGGAAATTATTTGAAATCTGCTTATAAATGCTAGGGTACAGTAGATTTTACTGTTTGCTTTCATCTAGCTTTTCCTTCGTCCCCGAATTCCTCCGCGAGGTTTTTCCCGCGCGAGTGTTGCTGGGTGACATTTCTAGGCTACAAGTAGTGCTTGGTCTCTTGTAGGACCCTTTTGTGGTCTGAAGAAGGCTTACAAGCCGAAACCGGTTACCACGGTATTTTTTTACAAGAGTGTTTTTACACACACGCAAGCACAACACAAACTACTTTCTAGGTGTCAATCCCTAAAAAGTTGCTGCCACGTACTGAAACCATGGCACCGACATGGTGCTCTATTGGTAAAGCATTACAGCACACATCACAGCCAGCGCCAGTGATGTCGCAGGCAGTGCCGTTGGTGTATACATGCACGTGGTACATGTTGGGGGGTGGGAGAGAGAGAGGGGGGTGGGGGGAATGGGGGGAAAGGCATTTACAGCACACATCACACCAAGCCATCATCAGTGACGGGCTCTCTTGTCTCGCCTGTTAGTCAAGCATACGGAGAAATTTCATGCGACATGAAACATGAGAGATGGAATAGGTACAGAACATACACGTGGCAGCAGTGCACCAATGAGTAACGGCGAGGTGGCTTTTGGGTCGAAACAAAGGACACCTTGCGATGGAACAGGTACGACACATACATACACATCGCACCCTGCTCCAGTGAGTGACCGGCGTCCACCACACCTGCTCCATCTACGCGCTCACCTCTTCCCGCCATCGCCGCCACCAGCAGCAGCGGCTGCCTCTAGCCTCCGCTGTGCCCGCAGTGACTCTCTGGCACTGTACCGCCCCAACACAAAGTCCATTGTCACCTGCCATGCCATGGCAACAAGCAAGGAAGCATGCAACAAGCAGGGAAGCATGCAACAAGCAGGGAAGCATGCAACAAGCAGGGAAGCATGCAACAAGCAGGGAAGCATGCAACAAGCAGGGAAGCATGCACCAAGTAGGGAAGCATGCAACAATCAGGGAAGCATGCAACAAGCAGGGAAGCATGCAACGTAACTTCTGAATAGGTCGAGCCTCAGCTGTGCCCGCAGTGAATCTCTGGCACTGTACCGCCCCAGTATGAAGCCCATTGTCACCTGGCGGCACACAATGGTAGGGAATGGCAGCAGGCGAGGACAGGGAAGCATACAGACAATTGTATGAAGAGATGTCGATTTTTGAGTCGACTCAAAAAGCAGCATACAGACAATTGTATCCTGAGATGTCTCAAACGCCCTCTCTGGCGCTGTACCGCCCCAGCACAAAGTCCATTGCCACCTGCCATGCCATGGCATGGCATGGCAGCACGGGAGATGCCAGCACAAGGTGGCAGGGAAGCATACAGGAGCATTCAGAGTCGACTCAATATTAATCTCTGGCGCTGTACCGCCCCAATACAAAGTCCATTGCCACCTGCCATGCCATGGCAGCACGGGAGATGGATGGATAATAGGTATGCTGCGCATGCTCGTTGCCCCGCATGTATGGGGTTTCAAGCAGTTTGTGAGACGTCTCAAAAACCTGCCATGGCATGGCAGCATGGGAGATGGATGGATATTAGGTATGCTACGCACATTCGGGGCTTCAAGCGGTTTGCTCGGAGATGAACAGCTTTTTGCGAACTGCACATCATAAGGGAGGCTCTTCTACACTCCGACACATGTTTGACGTGTAGTTTTGAGACGTCTCAAAACTACAGTTCAAACACTGCACATCATAAGGGAAGCTCTGCACTCCAACACAAACACACGAACACCCACCCACCCACACCCACTCCCCCACCTCCGCACCCCACCCCCACTCACAACCCCATCCCCACCTACCCACGCAACCACACACACACACAACCAAACCACAGACACCAAGACACATCTACCCACATCCACCCCCCTCCTCACACACACACATTCGCACCCACTTCCGACACAAATCCACCCCACACCACCCCCTCCCATGCACACAACGCAGCCATACCCATCCACGCTCACACTCCCACACACACCCACACTCATCCACCACACCCCCCTCCACCACACACACACACCCCACACCCACCCACCCACCCACCACTGCCGCACAAACACACACACACACACACACACACACACACACACACACACACACACACACACACACACACACACACACCACACAAACCCAGGCACCCACCACCCACCTTGTTCTCTCCATCCTGCCGCTCAATGTGCATCTGGCGAATGTGCTTCTTGTAACAAGTGCATGGAGTGCCCCATGCACACACACACACACCCCCACACCCAAGCAACCGCCCCACCCACCTTGTTCTCCCCGTCCTGCTGCTCGATGTGCATCTGCCGAATGTGCTTCTTGTAACAGAAATCATACGTCCACCACCCGTCTTGCTGCACACATTCAGGAAAGGCAAAGGGAGGCGGTGGAGAGGTGCGGAGGAGAGTCGAAAAGACAGTTAGTTTTGAGAAGCCTCAAAAGCTGCTCAATTTAATGTGCATCTAGCGATTTTGCTTCTTGTAACAGAACTCATGCGTCCACCACCCGTCTTGCTGCATGCATTTGGGTCCAGGGGAGAGGGGTTGGGGGGAAGGGAAGGCAGGTTCGGAAGGGAGAGGGAAGGCAGTGACTGTGAGGCGCCTCAAAAGCTGCTCACTTCGATGTGCATCTAGCGAATGTGCTTCTTGTAGCAAAACTCATACGTCCACCACCCGTCTTGCAGCACGGATTGGGGCAGAGGAAAAGGGGGAGGGGGGAGGTTGAGAACGGAGACGCGGTGGTTGTAACGGGCGGGGTTTAAGGCAGGGAAACGCTGATGATTTCACAACATGAGGCACAGCACAGGCACCACCATGAACGCTGATGTTGTGGTGCCTCTGTGTGCCGTCATGGCATCGGTGGCCAACCCACAACCACAATCACCCCTTCTCTGATGAAACAATATCAGCGCCATAGTCACGAGGTGACTTTTAAGTCGACTCAAAACTCTCCCTGGTGCTGGCGTGGCTGGTGTTTATTCATGTATACCAGCCACTTTTGAGGCGCCTAAAAAATGTTTATTCATGTATACCAGCCACGCGTGCCATAGTAACGAGGTGACTTTTGAGTCGACTCAATGAGTCACCTATCCACAAGAACCCCTTCTCTTAGCAGTTCTTACAACACACACAAACATGCTTCGTCTGCCGAGATTTAACTAGCAGGCACTTCGCTTAGACGCACATGGTAGAAGCACGACTGCCATGTACCCCCTACAAGTTTACCCTACCCTTCAATATAACCACCCGGTACAACCATGCACCGCAATGCAAGCGCCTTACACACACCCAGTAGAAGCATGGCAGACCCTTCATCGCATCTAGCAGGCCCTCTAAACTCCATCAGTGCGTGCAACCATCCATTCACCCCCTGCAATCTGACCCTACATTCCGATATACAAACGTGGTGCACCCAGTAGAACCCAGTGCACCCATGTTCAGGGTCCAGAGGAGGACCTGCTGGATGCGATGAAGGCTTCTACTGAACATGTAGACTGACCCAGTAGAAGCGTGGCAGCCCCTTCATCGCATCCAGCAGGTCCTCCTCTGGACTCTTCCGACTGCCCCCAGGCAGCACTGCTCACCTCACCTTGTGTGTCAATAACCTGTGACTCAACGCAAAACACCACTTACACGTACCCGGTAGAAGCACGGCACGGCAGCCCCTTCATCGCATCCAGCAGGTCCTCCTCTGGACTCTTCCGGCCGGATCTCCCCAAACGCCACTCCTGGTGTGTTGTGAGTCCACTCAATCACAGTCTACATGTACCCCCTGCAAACTGACCTGGTAGAAGCACGGCAGCCCCTTCATCGCATCCAGCAGGTCTTCCGGACCCTTCCGGCTCTCCCCAAACGCCACTCCTGCCACCCCGCCCTTTCCCCCTGCCCCTTCCGCACCTTCCGCCCCTGCCCCGCCAGCAGCAGGTGAGGGCGGGGAGGAGAGCGTGGGGGGGGGGAGGATGCAGCGATAGCGCGTGCCGTCACTGGCAGTCATTTCAACTGACTCCAGTCCCAGCTCCTGATGGGTAGGAAGGATGAAAGGATGGGTAGTGTGATGGGGGATGGAAGGATGGAATGTGGAGATTAGTCTTGAGGCGCCTTAATATTAGAGTGTGGGCGGGGGGAGGATGCAGCGATAGCGCGTGCCGTCACTGGCAATCATCTCAACGGACTCTAGACCGGGCTCCTGGAGGGTCATGTGATGGGGAGAAAGCACAGGTGAGGGAAGGAATGGCACCGGGAAAGTGTGATTATGGCCCTCAAGAAGAGAGCGTGGGCGTGGGGGATTGCAGGGATAGCACTTGCCACCACTGGCAGTCATCTCTACTGACTCGAGTCCCGGCTCCTGATGGGTCATGTTACGGGGGATGGGGGCGATACGGTCAGAGGCACCTCAAGAAGATGGAAGAGGGAGAAGGGGACTATGGATGAAGCGGTAGCACGTGCCGTCACTGGCAGTCATTTCCGTGTTTTGAGGCGCCTTAAAACACGTCACTGGCTGTCATATCCAATGACTCCTGTTGGGTCACATGATGGGGGAAAGGGTGGATGGAACAAGGAGAGGTTTTGAGACGTCTCAAAACATTTCTTTTATCACATGGTGGGGGAAAGTGTGGATAGAATAGGGAGAGTATGTTTAAGGCGCTTCACAAAAAGAGTAGCGTCTGTTGTCCCATCCCATCCCATCCCATCCCATCCCGTCACGTGCTTTTCCACCCGTCATAAGCTTTCAATTAACCCATCATGTGATTTCCCACCACCAACACACACACCACCCCTCCCCGATGAACCCTCACTCACGTCAACCGGAAGAACGACAGGCGTGGAGTGTGAGGCGGAGGTAGAAGAGGGAGAGGAGGGGGTGTAAAGGGGTGGCCAGAAGACGACGGAGAGTTTGGGCTGCTTGCTGTCTGCAGGGAAGGTCATCTGGCCTGCTGTGAGGCGAAGGGAGCGGGCGGGCAGGGGAAGCGGAGCGTGCCAAGTTTTGAGGCGCCTCAAAAGAGCGGGCGGGCAGGGGAAGCGGAGCGTGCCAATTTTGAGGCGCCTCAAAAGAGCGGGCGGGCAGGGGAAGCGGAGCGTGCCAAGAGCGCAAGTCGAGGGGTTGTTAGCGCGGAAGGGCAGGGGGAATCGACGAGGAAATCGGGGGGGGGGAGGAGCGGGACGGGTCGATGATGTGCTGTGAATCCACAAGGGAGGGGCGAGAGTGCGAGCGAGCGTACTGTTTCTGAGAATTCTCAAAAGACGACATGCGAGCGTACCGACGCGCGAGCAAGTGAGCGTATCGGTGAGAGTGCGAGCGTATCGGCGGGTCGAAGCGTCCTCGTTGGTCTTAAATCGACGCGTTGGCACCAACGCGGAAAATGCTTCAAAGATTAACTATGAATCCACAAGACAGCGCGTTGATTCTTAAATCGACTCAACGGCGAGCGAGTGTAACAAACGACACCCGAACGAGCGAGCGAGCGTACCGACGCGCGACCCAAAGATGAGGTCTGCCATGCCGCCGCGGGACGGTAACACAACCATCGTCGCGATCACGATGGTAACCAGCGCTGCGAAAACGCTGCGTTTCGCCATCTCGATCACAACCCGAAGCTGAAAGTCTGGAAGTTCTTGAAACGTGGAAGCGACAGGAAAATAGGACCTCGTCTGGACGTTATGAACGAGTGGAAGCGCGTCGACGTCCAATGGTCGTAGAGGTTGTGTCGAAACGAGGCCATCACTCACATCTGGAAGGTTGGATGTCACCTTTTCTGGAACTGCTCCGATAGCATTACTGTTATTTGAGGACTCATTTTCCTTACAGGGGTTTCTGAGCGATTCAACAACTTCAATAATAGCTCTCTCTAATTTTCTTTTTCTAGCCTACCATAGCTTAGTGGAGAGCTGTCTATATTGGAGACAGAGAACACGAATAATAGCAAAAGTGGCTGTCCATGGCAGAATGTAGGATAGTTCAATAACTAGTACCGTGTGGGTTGTTCCAATTGGACATGTGTGAAAGCACTTGATGCTAGAAGTATACTTGGGTTGGATGCTAAAAGCTGGCTCTTCTGCACCGATTGTGTCTCCAAATAATCACCTCAAGTGACTGTCAATCCTTTGCCCCCGAGCAGCTCACTCCTGCTGTTTGTCTCTCACACCATACTTGACATGCAATGCCAGTGACATCATGGACTCATGTTGATATTAGTGATGTTGCTGATATGCAATGCTGAACCCATCATGAGACATTGACATTGGCAGACAATGCCGGAGGCATCAGAAGGAGGTCTGAGGGAGTAAACGAGGGAGAGAGGGTTAACAGATGAGGAGGATTCTAAAGGTTGATTGGCTGAGAGGGGAAGGAAGTGAAAGGGCAGGAAGAAGGGGAAAAGAAAGAAGAGGCAGAGCTGGAGGCCGAGCGGATCGTACTGGAATGAGCATTGACAGGCAACAGGGACGGATTGGAAATATAAATGCTTTTTCTATGCGTAAAAATTATGCGGAGAAAATAAGAGATGACATGCGAGATATCGAGAATGAAGCACGTTAATGGCAAGGCAATAGCTGGTGGGGTTCACTGCTAATGGGAAGAATAGTGAACATCAGCATTTCCCACACGGCCACTCAGCTCAGCTCAGTCACTGCTCCCTTCGCCCCTCCTGTGCCTTAAAACACACCACCAGCCATCTATCCCATGCACAGCATCATGATGAGGTGATATGATCATGCGTGACTGAAGTGCTCATGAGTAGTCAATGTTAATGTCTTGGTACAAGCGTCATGAGCTGATAAGACTCCCATGAACAACGGAAACCATAAAATCATGAGCAGAAGGTAGGCAACATAGATTACCAGAAAAACAAGACAGCAGAACAAAACAAAATGATATGTGAAAGCATTGGATAACGTCGATGGGTTGCTTCAAGCATTAGTACTCTTGAGTATCAAAGACATCAAGAGAGAGGGGTGGGAGTACGTTTGGAGAGAGAAGACATGTCTAGAAAGGGACAGGAGAAACTGAAACCATGATAACATGAGCTGACAAATCGAACATGGTGAAAGCATCAGGAGACGATGAAACTGTCACGAGACACTCATAAAGCAGCACATAATGATTAACTGGAAAATGGAAATAATGGGTGAAACTGTTCAAGCAAAAAGAATGGCGGCATGAAGGGAGCAGATGGAGATATGGCAGGATATGAGATGATGGAAGGGATGGGGAAAAGCATTGTAAGATACCACCGCTGACCAAGGAAGCATCACTACTACCCTTGAGTCACATCACATAGACCAAATCAGCACCATTCAGTGGCTTCAGACCTTTCATGCCTCCTCCACCCAAGTACACCCAACAAGCCACTCCGCCCTACCATGCACCACTCCCACTCAACACACAAACACAAAATGCACAAGAACAGCAATAACATAAATATAGCATCAACAATCACAAGTGCTCTGAACCTAAAACATATTCCATACTAATCTAGAACAGTCTACTAATCATGAGCCAAGCAGGTGCACGGTGCAGCAACAGATGGCAGTCAGCATGAGCATTCAAATCCAGGAGCATGCTCTTCCCCCTCATGCCATGCCTCCCCATTCCAGCTCACCACATTCCTCCACCTCTCCTCCCATCTCTCCCACAACACCCTGCAAGCAGGGTGGAAAAAGGGGTAAGTCCCTCCATGCACCTCCCTCTAGCCCCCACCAGCCATGCCATCTCACCCACCACACTCGTACCCTTACATTCTGATTGAACACACCTTGGAACTCATCTGATGTTGTTGCTGCTGCTTTTCCGTTTTTTCTTTCATTCTTGCTTCTTTTTTTTTTTTTTTCTTTATCGATTTTTTTTTTCTTCACTCCTTCACTTGGCTGCCACCTTCCCTAGCTTGGGAATGCCACTCGCCGTCACTCCTGCTGCGGCCCTCCTTGTTGACGCACTGCTTGCAGGTCTGGGGATTCCAGACCCGCCAACAAGACCCGACGTCGGGCTGTGAGAAGCTACAGCGATTGTTGCTGCTGATGGGCTGCTTACGCCTGCAGCCTTCACACCTACCGCGCCAGCAGGACTTGCACGTGTCGGCTTAGCTGGTGGCGTCACCTTAGCTGCCGTGGTCTTAGCTGGCGTCGCCTTTGTTGGCGTTGCTTTAACTGGCGTCGCCTTGACTGGCGTTACCATAGCTGACGTCACCTTAGCTGGCGTCGTCCTTGTTGGCGTCGCTTTGGCTGGCGTCGCCTTAGCTGGCGTCGCCTTAGCTGGCGTCGCCTTCTCTGGCGTCGCCTTGGCTGGAGTCACCTTAGCTGGCGTCGTCTTTGCTGGTATTGCCTTAGCTAGCGTGGCTTTGGATGCTGCAGCTGCGACGATCGCTTCGCCGCTCTGCACCGCTCTGGGCTTCACAGCAGCAGCGGTACCCATCACATCCCTGGGCCTGGGCTTCTTGCTGGGCGGCTTAGCCACGGGCTTGGGTCGCAGAGGGGAGAAGCCGAGCGACGCACGGGGGGAGCGCACAGCGCACTGCTCTACCTCGTTAAAGCGTCCCACGCGCACTGCAATTGCGTGCCGCAACATCTTCAAGATGTTAGCGCGGCGCGCAGATCCAGCAAGATTCGAGGGGATCCGAGATGCCATAGCGGTAAGAACAAGCTAGGAGGTGAAGCTGATCGAAGACTCGAGGAGAATGAGAGTCGAAGAAAGAATGAGATTTCAACTGCTGTGGTGGTGAAAATGGGGAGGACAGCTGGGCTTTGTAGTGTTGGGAAGGAAATTGTGAATGGAGCTCGGGTGGAGGGAAGCAGCTCTCGAGGCTACGGAGGAAGGAGCCTGCTGCCCGAACGGAGAAGAAAGACGAAAAAAAAGGCACCCCGAAAAGTGCTCTGGTTCTGCTCAGTGCGAGGAGCCAAACCACGGAGGATTTGGCCAGCCAATAGGGGAAGGCTGAGGCTGCTGGTCCACGCCGAACCTCGAAGCCCGGCATTTGGCCCGCCAATGGGTGTAGTCCGAGCTTCCCGAACCAGGCCGAGCCTCGAAGCCCGAAACAATCGGTTGACAAATTTACGGCTCGTTCATCTAAATTCACGGAGATTTTGAGCAGAAACGCATTTGTCGCTGCCCGTAATCTATGTACGGGTCGCACTTTCCGTTAAGCTCGCCCGCTGCCCGTGGACTAGGTAAGGAGTGAATGATGGGTGAAAATGGACGGACTTTCTGCCGTGAGATGAGCTCGAAGCTGCTCGAGAATGTCTCCGTTCAGTTTCGTCAATGTAATTCGTTCATGAACACTGAAATCGCCGCTTCACAGCGGCGGGTGAACGCGACTGCGACGGCCCCTGCTGCGTCCTAGACGGAAACTATTTCCGCTCCCGCCAGCACATCAGTCCCGCAACATACTAGGGTTCCGTCGCTCGTTCATAGATGTGTTTCTTGTAAGGAGTGATGCGATACTTGCATAGGTATACAATGAGGTTCGATTACTTGCCTTATCGAGGTTGAGGTTACGAGGATCACATACACAAACTTTGTCAACAAAACTTTTGTATCATTGTCACTGCCTTGTATATTCTTCAAAAGCGTCTATAGAGTGTCTTTTCAATCAAGCATAACATTTAAATTCTCACAACAACAGCACCAATGGCACCAGCAGCTGCAGCATTCTTTAGGTAGTGGTGGCAACACTTGAGCACTTCCTTGCTTGCCAACAGCTGCAACATAGACATCTCTGCTAAGCTGTCATTCACTGCCCGACGGACCTTGGTGCTTCCAGCTTTCACGAGTTCTCGCCATTCTTCTGGCACACGTGGCCAACCACGCCGGCAAATACAAGCACTGTTGCCAAGCCAGATAGTGCTGTTACGACTTCATTCGACACACTCCCAGAAGGTAAAGCATCAACAGCCTTCGTGGCTGCAGCAGCTACCAATTCAGCAGTCGTTGCGACTGGGAGGT